GAAATGCTAAGCAATATTCGTCATCGAAACCTTATCAAAATCATCAGCTGTTGCAGTGAAATTGATTTCAAAGCCTTGGTATTGAATTACATGTCAAATGGAAGTCTCGAGAATGAATATCTTACAGAGGTTGAACATAATGATAGATGCTGCATCTGCACTGGAATACCTACACCATGGTTATTCAATACCAATTGTGCACTGTGATATGAAGCCAAGTAATATACTACTGGATGATGATATGGTTGCACATGTTGCTGATTTTGGAATTGCAAAACTCTTGGGTGGAGGAGATTCTATTACCCAAACCATGACTCTAGCCACTGTTGGGTATATGGCTCCAGGTGATGTACTTGCTAATTTAATATCTTTCAATTCTATACATGCTGTCCTTAATTATGCATAATTTTCATTTAATATATATTCATAAACATGAATATATAAGTATAATTTATAATGCAGAGTATGGATTGGAAGGAATGGTTTCAACAAGAGGGGATGTGTATAGTTTCGGAATTGTAGTGATGGAAACATTCACAAAAAGGAAGCCAACAGATGAGATGTTTGATGGGGAAATGAATATAAAGCAATGGATTGCAAACTCACTAGTATTACCGGATGCAAAGATAGATGAAGTTGTAGATGCCAATTTGCTTGGGATTGGGACAGAGCAGGAAGATGATGATCATGTGAGGAAGAGGGATTGCATATCAACCATTATGAGATTAGCTCTTACTTGCTGTGCAGAATCACCAGAAGAGAGGATAAGTATGAAAGAAGCTGTAGCCACACTCAACAAAATCAAGACAAAGTTTTTGAAGGTCGCCGCTACGAGAAGAGGTGTGCTGTTAAACCATCCTCTTGTTCAGCAACGCTTCAATTAATGGGTCCTATCCTATGACATGTATTTCATGCACTTTGATTTGATTCAATTTCAAGTCTTTAATTTAGACAATGTAGAGGAAGGCATGCCGTACGTTATATTTCAGCCTTTGACTGATTTTATGGTGGAGTGTGTAGACTTTAATATACTAGTCTTGGTAGTTGTATTATGGTATCAGTATGATAGGAGGGTTGTTCTGTTGTGTTGTGGCTGCAACCACGA